AAAAATTTTTAAATTAATATGTTTAAATTGCTATTTGGTGGAAGCATCATTGGGCAAAGGCTATATACACGATGCTGTAGAAAGAAACATTTTAAACAGTAATGGTTAATTTAAATAAAAATTTAACATGCTAACAATTACATTTAAATATTCTTATAAATAAATTTTATTACTACTTGACATAATAATGATAAATTAAAGTAAAAATAGTATAGTTCCTTATGATCTATAGTAGATCTGGCAAAACTTTTTGAGTCTTTGTGCCACAGTACACACATTTAATTTTAAAAAATTAGGACTTGAATAGTGTTATGAAAAAAGCAAAGTTTTTAATTTTAATGTCATTTATGTGATATTTACTTTGCCAGAATGATTTTGGAATATTTCATATCAAAGTGTTAGAATATTTCAATTGTTGTAGTATTTTATTATATTACTTATTAATGGATTTAAGTTTTATTAATTATATGACAAGTTGCATATCAGATGAATTATTCTGATTTGTGCTACAGATTTGATGAAGTCAAATAGAAATGATAAAACTAATTATATCTTCACTATTTGTTCAATAAAAAAAATCTTGTAAGAAAACAAATTTTTTTTCCTACAGAATTACATGTTTGATTTACACTTTGATGATGCTTTTGTGCAAATGAAAACACTGGCAATTATTATTAACTAATGCTATATAGTGAGAAGTACCAATAATTTATTAAAGTTTTTTAAAATTGGCTTTCACTTGTTCTTCTGCTAAAATTGGAAAGAATTCTACATTTAAATTAAGTCTAATTTTTCTTAGATTCATTCTTTTGTTCCCCAAGCACACAAAATAAAACATTTTGCTTTCAGTATTATGTGCATATATGATGATTTAATTCAATGAAATGATGATATAAAATTGTTATATCCCTATTTCTTAATAACTAAAACTGAATTTGATTTGCTTTTGTGTAATTATTTTCAATTTTTGTCTGTATTATTATTATTATTATAAATATGTAAATGTCACATGCTGTTGTTACGAGCATAAATGGCCAATTTATAAATTTTGAAAGTGATAATTATATATGAAACTGCATATTATAAAAATGGTGTTATTTTCCTCTGAAGTATGAAAGTATAGAATCTATCTTTTACTGATTAGTAACTGCTCTGCAGAACACTACTTCAGTTATATTAACTGACATAAGAATATTATTTAATGTTTTTAAATACAGGTAACCCCCGTATAACACGGGAGTTACGTTCCAAAAAATTGCCGTGTTATGCAAATCCATGTTATACGAAACAAAGAACTAGTACGAAAAGGGGGGTTAGGTTCCAAAAATTAAAAAACATGCTATTATATTTTCATAATTAAGATAAATATCTTTATTAAAATTTTCTTAAGCGATANCCTGTTGGGTTGATCATTATATTTGAAATGAAACACACAAACATGGAACATTTAAACACATACATACACATAACACACATACACATACAATACGACATATATATATATAATTTTTTTTTCAGCTTGCATCTTGTTTATTGTTTAACTAACTCTCTTTTTTTTTGTTTTGTTTGTTCTTGTTCTAAGATGCTTGAAAAACGCCTATCTGGCCACACTGTCTTTTTTGAAAATAAAATAATGATCAAATGACATCTTTTAATATCATTGTCATTTATAGACATCAAGTCATAGTAGATGCTATCCATTAGCAAATTTCTGTCATATGACAAAGAAATCAGAGATATCTCATCAAATGCCACTTCTTTATTTCTGTAATGATTCTTTCAGTTTTTAATTTTCAAAATTTTACATTTATTGTAAGTACTGGTTAGCTCAAAAAATAAATATTCTTAAAAAGGTTTAAATTTTGTAATTGGTTGCTGGCTAATCAGATTTTCTTTGAATTTTCTGGAAATAGCTTTGAAATTAGCAAATTTCTGTTTTTTCTTCTTTCAACCGGTAATTTTAGATCTTATTTATTTGTATTGAATGACAAATATTATGGAACAATATAATTAAAGATGGAAGATATGCAATGATGATCTTATAAACCAAAGTTTGGGCTCAGAAGTTTGAAAATCCATAAATTATAATATATATTCTATTTTAGAAACTATATATTTTCTATCATAAGATACAGAATTCTAGTAATAAAGATATATGAGATGGTTTTGAGTTATAAAAGCTGTATTGTTCCCTTTAGGTAAGATTTATAGGCCATTTATCATTTGCAACGTAATATTATTGTTTTTTGTACAAACATATGTTATATTTAAATTTAAATTATGAATTTCTATTCATACATGAATAGAATTAAATAAATATGATTAATGAGTTTATTGAAAAAACATGCAGATCAAATATACTATTCAGTTAAAACAGCATCAGAAATTGTCACAAATTATTCAAATAATTGTTAGTAAACATGGAAATGCATGTATTTATGCAGAAATTTTAAAAATTTTTAAATTAATATGTTTAAATTGCTATTTGGTGGAAGCATCATTGGGCAAAGGCTATATACACGATGCTGTAGAAAGAAACATTTTAAACAGTAATGGTTAATTTAAATAAAAATTTAACATGCTAACAATTACATTTAAATATTCTTATAAATAAATTTTATTACTACTTGACATAATAATGATAAATTAAAGTGAAAATAGTATAGTTCCTTATGATCTATAGTAGATCTGGCAAAACTTTTTGAGTTTTTGTGCCACAGTACACACATTTAATTTTAAAAAATTAGGACTTGAATAGTGTTATGAAAAAAGCAAAGTTTTTAATTTTAATGTCATTTATGTGATATTTACTTTGCCAGAATGATTTTGGAATATTTCATATCAAAGTGTTAGAATATTTCAATTGTTGTAGTATTTTATTATATTACTTATCAATGGATTTAAGTTTTATTAATTATATGACAAGTTGCATATCAGATGAATTATTCTGATTTGTGCTACAGATTTGATGAAGTCAAATAGAAATGATAAAACTAATTATATCTTCACTATTTGTTCAATAAAAAAAATCTTGTAAGAAAACAAATTTTTTTTCCTACAGAATTACATGTTTGATTTACACTTTGATGATGCTTTTGTGCAAATGAAAACACTGGCAATTATTATTAACTAATGCTATATAGTGAGAAGTACCAATAATTTATTAAAGTTTTTTAAAATTGGCTTTCACTTGTTCTTCTGCTAAAATTGGAAAGAATTCTACATTTAAATTAAGTCTAATTTTTCTTAGATTCATTCTTTTGTTCCCCAAGCACACAAAATAAAACATTTTGCTTTCAGTATTATGTGCATATATGATGATTTAATTCAATGAAATGATGATATAAAATTGTTATATCCCTATTTCTTAATAACTAAAACTGAATTTGATTTGCTTTTGTGTAATTATTTTCAATTTTTGTCTGTATTATTATTATTATTATAAATATGTAAATGTCACATGCTGTTGTTACGAGCATAAATGGCCAATTTATAAATTTTGAAAGTGATAATTATATATGAAACTGCATATTATAAAAATGGTGTTATTTTCCTCTGAAGTATGAAAGTATAGAATCTATCTTTTACTGATTAGTAACTGCTCTGCAGAACACTACTTCAGTTATATTAACTGACATAAGAATATTATTTAATGTTTTTAAATACAGGTAACCCCCGTATAACACGGGAGTTACGTTCCAAAAAATTGCCGTGTTATGCAAATCCATGTTATACGAAACAAAGAACTAGTACGAAAAGGGGGGTTAGGTTCCAAAAATTAAAAAACATGCTATTATATTTTCATAATTAAGATAAATATCTTTATTAAAATTTTCTTAAGCAATACATATTAATATAAATTAAACAATGTTTTCTTCGTCATCACTAAGCACTATTAACCGAGGGCGTTTTCTTTTGGCAAGATATCCTTATCCTCTGAGCATTTTCTGCATTATTTTCAGATCCATGCTCTACCTTTTGCAAAAAATATGTTATTTTAGATTGCTTACTTTTAGTTAAAAGATCTTTATAAATTTCCTTATATGGTGCTAAGCAAGTATGGAACAAGGGAAAACATCTAGCAACACCAAAAGTAGAAGCGTCGAGTTCTGGCAATACTGAAACAAGTTTCGAGAAGGACCACACATATCAACAGAAGGCAGGAAAAGAAAATTTACATACTTAAGTACTAATCGATTTTTCTGCATAATTTTCGTAAACTGATAGTATGTACGCGCTCGAATGAAAAATACCAAATGAGGTATCTTTTGCACTTAAAAGCTTTATCACGTTTATTGAACTGTTGTACGAGAATTTCCCTAATTTTGGTTTTAATAGTTTTTATTACTGTACATTTCATGTTGTACAAGGGTTTTATCCAATTCTCGAACCGTGTTAAAGCGAATCCGTGCTATTAGACGTGCCGTGTTATACGGGGGGTTACCTGTAAACGTTAAAATTTCAAAATAAGCAATTAAAAAAAAAATACATTTTTATTAGCTTATCATAATTAAATTAATTAAATGTTTAAATAATTTTGGTTTTTTAATTGTAAGTTCATTTCTGATTAATGGGAAACTTTTTCAAAATGTTGAATTTTGCATTATTTATATAAAAATATTTCTATGTTAGAAAGTTTTAAAAATATTGTTCAGAACAATAGGAAAGGATTTTTATAAAACTATTCAAATATTTGTTTAAATTTAGAAATAGTAAAGCTGATGAGAAATAAGTTAAAAATTTTGGCACTTGGATGATTTTGGCAAACTCCCATTAAAAATATTTATATATATACATATGAATTTATGATTATAAATATCATATTTAAGAATTCTTCTAAAACCTTATTCTTCTTTTACTTAAAATTAATTTTTAAAAAATTCTCACTTACGAGGCATATTAAATATATAGTTTTGCAACAAAATGCTTTCGGATAATTTACGTTGACCAATTTAAAAGAAGTCGCACTCATTTGTATTTTATTTTTTTCTGTGATTTAGGTTTCTTCCGAAGGAGTATAACCAAAAATGCCGTATATCAATGCAAATATGGGAATAATTGCGAGATCGATATGTACATGCGTAGAAAGTGCCAAGAATGTAGGCTCAAAAAGTGTCTCAGTGTCGGAATGCGGCCAGAATGTAAGTATTAGTACACCTATTTACTTTTAGCAATCTTAGTTATTGTCACTAATCGGTATAGGACCTTCTACATTTTGGAAACTAACTGTAAAAATTAATGTTTAAAAAATTATTTTGATAAACTTAATAAGTATTAGAAGTATTTTAAGCTATTTACAATTCTGCTTGCAAATAGAATGACTTGCCAATCTCAAGGCCCATTTACTAAACAGATATATGAGGAAAGTGATACATAACACATTAAATCCATTAAAAATCTCAAAAGTAATTATCTTAATAGACCATTGATATAAACAGCAATTATTTTAGTTTCTAAATCATGCTTGTTTACAATCATCATAGAGAATGATTTATATGACAAGATATTATTAAAGATTCAATACCAGAGATGTGATTTTTTCTTTAATGTCAGCAGAACTACAAATCCTATTTAATATATGAAAAAATCTACAAGTTATGCAGTGTTTGTTTGGAACATTGGAACAATCTTTTAAATTATATCTATATTCATTTTGACTGGAGCAGAACATTATCACTATCATTTGGTAAAGTCTATATTTTAACTTTTTCAAAATTTTTAATTGAAAAATGAACTTAAGCATGAATCTCACATGTTATAACTAGTAATGGTTTTATTGGCTAGGCAAGTACAATTTGCAAGGTCCTTTTATATAACTTATGTATCATGGGGGCCTTGAACTCCTTTGAGAATGCATCTTTGCTCATTACTAATATTTTTATTCTGAGTCTATATTTGCACATAATTTCTATGGATCCCGTGCATTACAAACCACAGAACTCCATTCCTCTAAGGAAATTGGTTCAGAGGAATCAAATATGTACGAGGTAGTTCTATTTATTGCACGATACTCATTACAGCACAAAGTCTAGGATCTAAGGAAAGTACTAAGACCAAATATCGACATGCAAATATAAGGTGGCCCAAACATCAGTTAATGTGTTTGAATAACTTCAGTGAAACCCAAGTTGCTTAAACCTAAAACTGCTATAGTATAACAATAGAATATACCTATATAACAAGGTTGTACTTTGGGAGTTATAAACTGATTGTGGTTTAACAGTTTATTAATTAGAATTTTGTATCTATTTTGAAATTACTACACTCACTTCCAAAAGAATTTGCCAAATATGAAATAATTGTCTTTAGAAAATTTTGCAAGAAATATTTGCCCTATTTAAGTAGAAAATGAGTTAGTTTTTGCATGACACAATTATATAATTTTTCTCATATTTTGTGATTTACTCAAAGTATTTATAATTATATATTAATGTCTTGCTTAAATTATGCTTAATTTCTAAAATATATAATTTTATTAATAGGTGTTGTACCAGAATATCAATGTGCCATCAAAAGAGAATCAAAAAGGGTTCAAAAGGAAAAGGACAGACCCAACAGTACAACTAAGGACAGTCCTTGTATTGAAATCAAGGAGGAGAAACCATCAGATTTAAATCCTCTGAGATCAGATCAAGAAGAAGTTATCCAAAAACTAGTCTTCTTTCAAGAGGAATTTGAATCACCATCTGAAGATGACTTCAGAAAAATCACAGTTAGTTTGTAACTTTCTAAGGGAATTTAAAAAATGCTAAAAGAATATGATTTGAAATTGAAAGTAATACTCTGACTCTCATTAAATCAACATAAAATCTAGTTTGGTATTTGTATAAATGTGATAAATAGGAAAATTATTTACGTATTAAGTTCAGTCATTGTTTGGAGGAAATTAATATTCTATTATAAGAATTTTAGAAATTTACATACTTTTTTATTACCAGTTATATGATAAACTTTCAAACATTATTGATAATTGGCACATTGAATTTCATTGTGGGGAATTCATTCATTGTGATATATGCAAGTTTGATTTTTGCACTGTTTGGNTTGATTACACTTAATTGTGATATAACATTGGAAAATTTTCTAGCAAATCTATGGATAGATGTATTATACTAAAAATCATCTTTTTAAATAAAGTTATCAAACTTGTTTGATAAATTTATTTAAAAAGATGATTTTTATTAGAGCAGCAAATGTCAATTCTGACAATGCAGTATCAAGAATTAGGAAATTTGTTTTAACTTCCTTAGAGTGATTCAGTGCAAGTAATGATGAGAAACTCTTGGCCAGAAGCAATATAATGTCTGTTTGAAAGCATTTTTATAGTTTCTGTTTTTCTTGGAGCTTTAGAGACATTTTTGATTAACTATACTCAAATGTCACAGCTGAGCATGAAGTTTCATTTGAACAGAGTTCAATTATGTGTAAGGACAAATGTTTTCAAAACTTTAAATTTCATGTAGTGTTAAATTGAAATTTCTTTAGTTAATCAAATGTATTCTTATTTAGTGTTTGAGACTTTATTCTAAGAATTGAAAATGTATTAGATTATAAAGAGTGAACAAAAACCATTACTGGTATATTGCACTGTTATAACAATTAACATGTATTATTTATTTTTTAATTATGTTATAATCACACTTTAACAGAAAAACAGTGAATAATATTCTTGTTTGTTATAAATATAGTTATAAATTTTCTATCTTCTAGGCATTTCCTCTGGGAGATACGGAAGAAGACAGCCTAAAAAGGTTTCAGCACATAACAGAAATAACCATTCTCACAGTCCAACTTATTGTCGAATTTTCAAAACGAGTGCCAGGATTTGATACCCTTTTAAGGGAAGATCAAATCACGTTGTTAAAGGTTTGTTGACCCTTTGCAATTTGTAAACATAAACAAATGTTTACAAATTGTTTGCTTTTTGACAATTGTGAGAATTGTTTTGATATTTTAGGCATGTTCCAGTGAAGTCATGATGTTAAGAACAGCAAGAAAATATGACATTAAAACAGATTCCATTGTTTTTGCCAATAACCAGCCATATACCAGAGAGAATTATCGAAGTGCCAGTATGGGAGAATCTGCAGATGCCATCTTCCATTTCTGTAGGAAAATGTGTCTCATGAAAGTTGACAATGCGGAATATGCACTGTTGACGGCTATTGTTATTTTTTCCGGTAAGAAATTATTTTGTTATTTAAGTATTTATATAATGTTAATTCTCTTATGATTAAGAAGACAATTAATTATGAAAGTGAGTTTAAAGCATTTTTACTAAAAATACCTGTTGAGCTGTTAATATTTCTTGACTAGTTAAATGATACCAATTTCTTCAGAGACACATGAATATTCAATATTGAAACTATTCTTTTTTCTATACAAGAATTGGCCCTGTTGTGGTCTAGTGATACAGCACTGGACTACTGAAAAGACAAGTTAGGATCAAATCTCAGTAGTGATTGGCTTCTGTCCATTACAATCTATATGGGTCCAAGGTCTGTCTTGGTCTCCTTTCAAATGGATACTTGGAGGGTGATCTTGGGATAAAATAACACTAACTTCTCTGGCTGTACCATGAATAGGGAGAGCTATAAGCCTCTTTCCCCATGTGCATTTGTAGCACACTTTGGGATTCCTTTTTTTCCTTGTCTTTTTAGAAAATTGTAAATAATTATTTATCAGTATTTTAATTTGATTGTTATTGATAAATTGAAATGTCTTTTATTACAGAGAGACCATGTCTCATGGAACCGTCTAAAGTGGAAGGTATACAAGAATTCTATATTGATACTCTTAGGGCTTATGTTGACAATCATAGGCTCCCCGGAAAAAATTATTTTGCACGTCTCCTTTCCATCTTGACAGAACTACGTACCCTTGGTAATATGAACTCTGAACTATGCTTTTCGTTAAAAGTTCAAAACAAGAAATTACCACCTTTCTTGGCAGAAATTTGGGACATTCAAGGATAAGAAAAAGCTATGTAACAAATAGTATCATTCCATCGACTTTCTTGTCTCCAGCTCTCATCCTCATTCCGTCGTCAGTCATCAGCGCCACCGCAATTGCTGTAACCAAAGTGTACACGACATCTGCATAACAGTGTTAATGTCAAATTCTCCAAGTTTTACATTTTGGTGCTGCAGTATTTGTGTTATAAGATGGTTGACAGTACAACTGTCAAAATATGCAAAAGGGTGCCATCACAGTCTTTGCACATTTGGCTCATGGCCGATCCTTCAGGTGTCTCTTGCTCCAATGGTTGTGATGTCTTCATTCTCACATATTGTTCTGGGAGTGTCACTTAATATTAACCTTTCCATCAAGTTTAGACAGGTTGCATGTGGTAGGCAACGCACAAGATTATTATAAACTGTACCTGTGATGGCACCTGACAGCGATCGGCCAATGGCGGCGATATCACCATTTAATGGATTACCGCCAACGATCTGAAAGAAATATTCTCCCGCCCTTTCGAGGAAGAGGAGGAAGAACATTTGAAAACGAATGGTGCTTGTCATCCCACAAAGTGAAAATAATATTGGTCTGTGTTACGGAATCACCAATCAAAAAAGACTTTGGCAATTTGCCCACTTATCATACGAATGCGATTATTACGAGAGTAATCGGAACGCTGTGGATAGTACATATTTAGACTGTGTCCAAACACCGGAAAGAAAAATGGATCTGCATGTGCAGAAAATGTGCAGCTTAAAAAATTGCTCTATAACTATTGCTAATTGAACCCAAGGGTCTTGGGATGGGAAACAATGTTATTTCTGATTTATTATAAAGGTGTGCGTGTCTTTCTTTAAAGTCATGTGATATGTTTGTATATGGTACCTCAGTATCACATGTGTTTTTTTTTTTCTTTTGTTACATGCTTCTGAAGTTTATACACAAATGGGTCCTTCATTTTTTGTCTTATAGGGAAAGAGAAAGTATATTTTAGCTCTGTGAGCAGTCTCGTGTATTCATCCAGCCAACTTCCCAGGAAGCATTGTTTCGTTAAAAAGTTGTTGATCTGTGTATGTTTTAATTTGTTGAACATGAAATTGGGAGAAAAATGTGGTATGCCCCTGTTGGGTTGATCATTATATTTGAAATGAAACACACAAACATGGAACATTTAAACACATACATACACATAACACACATACACATACAATACGACATATATATATATATATATATATATTATATATAAATATATATTACTGGGGATGAAATTTCTAGAGATTTATACATAAACCTCAGATTTAGATGTAGCAGTAGTTTAGTAGTCTGGAGTATTTGATTTAAAGGAAAAACCCACTAGCCTATATCCCATAAAATTGTAAACACAATGTCTTTAGTGTCATGTGGTCACTGTTGTTTCTTCCTTCTGTTGTACTAAAGTTTATTGCAAAATATGGATGGGCTCTGCAATTACCAACAAAAAAAAAAAATTCAAAAGATACAAAATAGATTAAAATTCCACTGGCCAAAGTCTCGTTCGGAAACCACACGTTAGAAAATCCTCCCTCGACACATCAATTAATCTATTCTATCTCTATATATCTATCTTCAAGATCATGCCGCATTTAAACTTCAAGATCGTATTTTATATCTTATTCTATAGCTGAGGTATCGTATAATTTTCTCTTCTCAAGAATTAAAAAAAGTATGTATTATATATATAAGAGGGATACATTATCACAATCGAGCACAAATCCAGTTATTAAAAATTTTTTAATTTTATGATGTGATAAAAAGAAGATTAAAAAAAAAAGCTTATTTTCCAAATGGAGAAATCAAATTGTAAAGTACTCATTTTTGTGGTTCTTTCATAGAAATTTATGTAATAGAATTATAGAGAGAATATTAATCACAGTACTCATATGTTATCTGTGCTGAAGATCAACCATATACTATTGTTCCAATTACTCGTACTTGTTACAAAAAATATTGTTGAATATTACCGTTATATAAAGCATTATATTACTTCTGGTCTTTTATTTCCTCTGCAGCGACAATATTGGGGTTCTCTCTCCTTCCTACGGCATGACCGGGTATCTATGATAGAATATCACTTGCAAAGTACCTGCTACAAATTCATCTTCTGTAGATACCATCATGTTCTGTGTGTGTATATCGAGATATATATATATGCCAACCATTATCATCACATGGACTTATTTTTTGTTTTATTTTTGTTTTATTATTATTTTTTTGTTTCATTTCTCAGACCAGCCGCTAGAAATTTTCACGGTGAGCTTTGCTATAACTGATCTTTCGTTGTAAAAAATAATAAATGGCAGGGTTTAGCTGTCTCAGGCAAAGTGAGTGTATAAGTTGTGTATTTATTCTGATGACGGATAATAAATTGTGATAAAAGATAATCTTTGGGTACAAAAAGAAAAACGACTATAATTAAAAAAAAAAAAAAAAAAAGACAAATGCCTTAAAATTCGAGAATGTTTCGGGTAACAGGTTGTCGTTGTAATATATGTGTACCTTTTAGAGTTAGTACTAACAATATAGTGTACAATGGAAAAGTGTGAGTGAAAGGTATATAAAAATGTATGTTTACGAGGCTTCCCTCCTCCGCAAATAGAGGAATTATTGAATTATAGGTGAAGGATAAATATTATATATATATATATAAATATATATAAATATATTATTATTTTAATTGCTGTTTACTGTTTAATAAGGTAGAACTTTTGTAATTACTGTTTGTTTACTGAAATAATTACCTATTGTTATTATTTTTCTCTTCTCAGCTGTGCTAGAAGAGAGTTGAAGTGCATATTGTGAATTAAAGAGTGCAATTAAATATTTAAACGTGTGTAATAAAAGTTATGTTTGATGATGTAGCAAAGATTGCTAAATGATTTGTCTCAATCAAAGTTATTGCAGAAATTGCAGTCAATTTGTTAGAAATTGTGGGAAGTTAGCCACACTATCCATGATATATATGTACGCATTTCTGATTCGTAAAATCTAAACAAACATTTTTGTATATAACCGGTTAAAATGAATAATTTAGATCCAAAACACAAAGTACGAGTCGATTGCTCAAAATTTATTACGGTGAAAGAGGGAGAATTGGGACTGACTTTTTTAGAAATTAGTCTGGCACACTTCCCACATGCTTCTTTGTATGGGTTTAACTGTACTTAAAATTGTCGCCGTGCTTGCTGTCGGTTAAGGTGATAAGATTTGCAAACAGTGGCATAACTAGTACGAGTGAAACAGTGGACAATGGGCAATATTAAAATTATAGTTACTAAATGTACAGTTGTGGTTTTGGCAACTGGCGAGTGCCTTTGTATAATTGTTTTATTACGTGTGCAGCTCGAGTGGCGCTCGCTCAGTTTCCAACGACTGGCGCATCTGCTCGAGTCTGTGCGTTAAGCTAGAGATTTTATCACTTTGCACATTTTCCACACTTGTAAATAATAATAATAATAATAAAAAGATAATCTTTAATTAGAATTGGAGGAGGGAAGCCACCATTGATAATCCTTATCTGTAATCCAGAAGTGAACATAGTTCTGTGTGATCAGTTTCTCATCGTTATTACTGTAAAAATAATCATTCATTTTATCGAGAAAACATTTTGACTCTGGTGAGAAACTATTCATTTCAAGAATATGTCCATTTTTGGAAATGAGTTTTGTTCACAGTTCACACTTGTTGCTACATATGTTTCCTCCCATTTTTTTTTTGTTTTTCAATTAAATAGAAATAAAACACATCAAGTATGAGATTATACGAACCCAAATGTACGTGCACATAAACAGATATGGGTTCTAATTAAACTTACCGCAATCGGCGGTAAAGATCTTTAAAAATAAATAGCCTGGGATAGAGGCACCCACCTATGGAGAAAGATCTTTGGACAGGTGTACTGTTGTACAGATATTGACTGTATCTTTTTGCGATGTTCTATATTTTTCAAATTAAAACTGGCCAGATTTACTAACTGGAGTCAGCTGTCTTTTTTTAAATTAAACATACGTTTAAAAAAACAAAATTAAACAAAAAATAGTGACATCATAGGAAAAAACCAATAATTCAATTCATTTATTGGAGTTATCTATATAAAAAATGGATACATCTTAATGTTTTTGAAAACAAAAACTAAGTATTTTGTTCATTTTTCCTTTTAAGAGTGTGTAGCTTTTTTAAAGTGTTAGGCATCCTTTATTTTTGTAAAGATAACTCCATAAATTTAATCTATATAAAACAATATAGGTATTTTAATGAAGTATAAACTAAAAATCTTACAGAAGAATTCAGTTCAAACACTTTCAGATTTGCCTTAATCTTCAGTAACATGAAAACATTTGAACTAAACCAGTATTTCTCAACCTATAACAAATCATCACCCCATTCACTACAAAATTCTGATTTCGAGGGACAAGGCTAACGCCAAATTCGTACTGCATTGAATAGCCTAGTGACTAGTATAATGTTATTTGTTTAATTATTGTACGATAAAACAACTAAAATATCTAATTATTGTTAATATAATGTTTTACTACATTGCCCAGAAAATTGTTTTTTTGCCCCCAAAATATAAATTGTTACTAATCGTCCCCTCAATATGGAAAAACACCCACATGGAGGCGATATCACCCCCGTTGAGAAACACTGAACTAAACTCATAAAATTTTAATTAGTTCATGTTTCATTAAAGCATAAACTAATCATTTTGTAAGGTAGCTTTGTCTCATTGAGTAGCTTTCAAATAAGAATTCTGCTCAAAAGATCAATCCAACTTTTTTTTATTGATAATTCCAATACAGCAGTTGGATTCTCAGCTTTATATATAAATTAAATTTTTTAATGAACAGTAAAATATTGCAAGATAATATAACTGAGCATTTCTTTGTGTAATTTTTAGATCTACAAAAGACATTATTTATATTTCTTGATCTAGAGACTTGGATTACAACAAAAATGTGCAAAATGTAATAATAACAATTTAATTTTTAAAAATTTAGAAATTTTAATTTGTTTAGTTGTTTTTTCAATTAGAAAGTTACAGATACGTCATACTAACCTTGTATAGCTTTGCAGTTACTACTTAAAAACATAAAACAACATTGAATAACTTTCTAATTTATGTGTTTTAATAAATAACTTTAATTTCACATTAAAGTTATGCAATAATAGATTTATAGATTCAAAACAAGCAGAGATAATGTATTACTGTTTATATATTAAGTATTGCATTGCAGAATAATAATTACATTCATCTTATGGGTTGTGCTATTTGCTTTACTGTAGTTCTAACAAAAATGATTATATTCATTGCTAAGAGAAACGTTTAAAATAATACAGTAATACAGAAGGGTTATGAAATCTGGGAAAAAATTATTACTTATATCATAAATGTACTTGTGATTTTACATGGCTGCTACGCTTTACTAAGGGACAGCAACTGAATGTTTTATGTATCTTAATGTAATAATGATAACCACTAATTGTGTATATTTGCCTACATTTCCAGACTTTATAGCCACCCTGTATGTAAAATAATAACTAAATACAGTATTAAAAAGGATAAATTTAATAAAAAAACAAGGTACAAACATTTAAAATCTGGATTATCTTGGGCAAGAATTAAGCTAATTATGAATAAATTGTGGAATTTGGCATTGCTAAGCATTGCAGGTGGTTGAGCTTCTACCATTAGACCAAAACATTGTACTCTAGATTGATAGGTTTCTTCCATTGATTCAAACAGAACTGAGAAATTTCAAACAAAAGTCAGTTTCACATTAAACAGATTATATAGTTGGCTTCATTTCTTAGCTAGATGCATCTGATGTTCACGTTCGACGGCACGTTAACATTACTGACGTAAGCAAACAACAATAAATCACACTGCATGGCAACTTCCCAAGTAGACACTAAATGATCTGCCTGATAAATATCAGGAAGGGTTAAAAGTGTTACATTTTTTGCATCAGTAACTATTACATTTAATGAATCTGTTTTTGCACTAAACAAATGATTGTAAGTAACTGTCTAATTAGAAATTAGCAATTTGACTAAGCTAATTTAAATGTTGGAAATCATAAAAGTTTGCATGTTATATTAATTCTTTAATTGTCTTATTCTAAATTTACAAATTTTAAAATGATAATCATCTGTATAAGAAAATACTTGGTTTAATTATCTTGCAACATTATGTACTACTGCTTAACAATAAATTGTGAAACCAAAAATACATTTAAAATGCAATATTATTATATAAAGTTTTCTAATATTTTAGTAGTGGCAGAAACCAAAGAGTACAATTTTATATCAAAATGAAATATGGAGAATTACTCTTTGATTCTTTTTCATAGATATTTCATCATATTTTCAACTCAACGTATAATTAATTTATAATTACAAACTATTTTTAGTTTTTAAGAAGTTAAATAGAACTTACTTACTCAATTAACTTTCAAAGTCCTTCAATCTTGTCTTTGGATTTTTTTTATTAACAGTTTTAGGTCTGAATTTTTTCAATATTTTCATATCCATATTTGCAATTTGGACCCATTCTGTTTCCAGAAAATATACATTCACGATTTATAATTTTATTTGAAAATGTTTCTAAATGCATTCTTTAAAGAAAAACTTGTGTTCTATTTATAACTAATTCATAACTATATATGACGTGTGCAATGCCATAATGTTTTAAATGTCATTTTTCTCTAAATATGTTTTATTGAAGAATTGAATACTAAATGCAATGTTTTCTGGTGCACAAAAATATTGTGGCAACAGTGGCACTGTAAGTGGTTATATTATGAAGTTGAATTTATGTGACGCCATAACGTTTAAAGTGCCAAAGTGCAAGTTGTGAGACTTTTGGCACTTAAAATGTTACAGCTTATATTTACATCATTTTGATATTCCAGAGAATTTGTAACCTAGTGAGTTTTTTACTATTTTATTGTAAAATTGAAATTATTCATTCACTAGAAAAAATGTTTTACACCTCTCCTGCTGAAAAGTTTGTTGGTTATTTGGCATTTACAACATTATGGCATTGCACGCTTCATATAGTCAAACCTCAATTTATTGTTGCCATTTGTTCATCTCTGAAATTGGTACTAGACTGAAGAACTCTGAGCAATAAGAATTATACATAATAATGAAATCTACATATGAATGTAAGGTTTGCAATGTAAAATCATACATGTAGTAATTCAGATACTGAAGATTCTCTAATATTTATGAGAAAGATCCATTTGCAAGCATTTTTTGGCACTTTAAAGGGTTGATACTAATTATTAGTACACTATATTGAGACATAAAAAATTTTTTCCTTCTAGATGGAACTGCTGTATAAATTGGTACTATTTGACCATTTACCATGTTTCCAGCAATGTCAATATACATGTAAAGCAAATGTTTTTAACCTCTTTCAGAGGCCAGCATAGGGCTTTTTATCGAAGATTTATTAGCCAAACTTTTAATTGGAAACACTTCGATAAAAAGCCTGATGCCGACCACTGAAAAAGGCTGAAGACGTCTGCTTTACATATATATCGACACTGCTAGAAACATGCAAAAGGGTCAGTATAATATCAATTTATCATTATATTGAGGTTTGACTGTAATTATATATTTTATTGATTATTAAACATTACATAAATAGAAGAAAAATTACTTACTATAAAATAATTAAAATAATAATAATATAATTCTCAAACTAGATGTTTTAATGATTTATTATACAGATACGAGAACTGTTTCTTTTTCAACTTCTGATGGTCCATGAAACAAAGACAAGTGTAAGTAACAAAATGAATTTATTACCAAAAGTTAGGTACAAACATGGTTACTTTTCAACATTATTACTGTGAAGATTGAGGAATTTGTCATATCTGTGGATGAGCTTTTCCATCCCCTTTGTCATAGAATTTCGCCAGTGAATTGAGATGGCTTTAACAAAGTTGTTTTGAAGATCATCATTAGTTCATTAGTCTCAAATCTCTGCCCTGCTAGCCACATTTTCAGTTCAGGAAAGAGGTGGAAGTCTTCACACATTAAAAAGTTTTAAGCTAAGTGGAAGTCTGAAAGGTGGAAGCCTTTACCACCTTTACACCTTTAAACACCCAGCATATAGCCCCGAGCGACTTCCACCTCTTTCCTGAACAGGAAAAGTGGCTAGGAGGGCAGAGGTTTGAGACTAATGATGATCTTCAAAAAAACATTAGGGCCATCTCAAGTTATTGGTGGCAACATTCTATGGAAAAGCTCATCCACAGATATGATAAATGCCTCAATCTTCACAGTGATTATGTCAAAAAGTAACCATGTTTGTACCTAACTTTTGGTAATAAATTCATTTTATTATTTACTTTTTTTTATTTATGGACCATCGGAGCTTGAAAAAACCAGCCTATGTATTTTTAAAGATTTTTTTAAATTTCCATTTTTGGCTGATGATAAATTAATGAATCCAAAAGTAATAAATGTCATCTTGTAAAGCTAGAGATTATTCATTAAAGAAATGCTTATGGCTTGTTTAAGTGCAATTTAGATTTAGAAGATTATTTAAAAATTTTTTTAAACATTTATTAATTTTTAATAATTTTAAGTAAGTTTTATCAAAATTTATTAAACAAATTCAGTTCAGACAAGAAATTCTATTTTGAGTGAATTTGTGCTGGTTTCAGGTGTTAGTCTTCATTTACTTTTCACTTTTCGAAGAGTAATTGTATAAAGGCATGCACTTGAGTACAAGTGTAAATATAAGCAAATCTTACTCATTATTTATACCAGGTGTGACAAACCTATGGTATGCATGCTCAAAGTTGCACATTGGGAGAATCAACTGGCACGTAGCATGTCATACAATTATGGTTTATCACCCATCTTTTTCAATAATCCTTTTGGTTTATCATCTGATCATCCTTTTTTCAATCAGCTTCTTTACATTTACTCCAAGTAAGGTATGTTCATTTCATACCTTTAAATATCGTTATTCGAAGTCCAAAACTTTGGATGCATAAATATTTTTAAAGATAATTATGCTCACTATATGGCATGTGAACTCACAAAGGTTTGCATCCGCAATCTATTCAATTAAATTGTTTCATCAATAAAACTATGAATGTATAATGCCAAGTGGAAGTGCATTCTGTTATTCACTTTTAAATAATTCAATGAAAAGATTAACAAATTTCACTGTGTACTTTTCTTATCAAGTTATATTGTAGATAAAAATTATGTCACAACTCTTGAGTAGAATTACTCTGTTATATCACAATGTAACTTTATATAATTCCCTGTATTTATGTAGATTTTATGCTTTAAAAGGACTCACACAAACCTTTGTGGGAAATGGCTCCTGGTGGATGTAGCCAAATCTTTATTTTATAGTTCTAATGATCCCAATCAAAAGTCTCCATAGGCATCCAAAAATGCAGTTTTTGAGTTATCAAGCATCCAAGATGCAAGAATAGTATAATTCATGAGTGGATAGTGAAGTTTTAAATCTTTTTTTTTTTTTTTCAAAATATAAAATTATGTATTTTCAAACATTATTGATAATTGGCACATTGAATTTCATTGTGGGGAATTCATTCATTGTGATATATGCAAGTTTGATTTTTGCACTGTTTGGGTTTATACCAACTAGTAGATACAGTATTCTCCATTGTGTGATAGACTCACTCCATCAAGACTTGATAATGATCAAAAGGAACTTTGTTGGGGCATATCACTTTATATTTTGAAAATGAAAAAGATTCAGAGCTTCACAATATGTGCATGAATTATGCTGTTTTTGTATATTGGATACTTAACTCAAAAACTGCATTTTTGACTTTGGGCTTAGGGTAATTGATTTTGTGATTCTAGTAACATTAGAACTATAAAATGTCAAAGATTCAGCCCAATCTATCAGGTTCCATTTCCCATAAAGTGTGTGTGTGTGTGGAGTCCTTTCTCAGCTTAAATAAAAAATTTAAATTTATTTTTACCAGATTTCAATCTATTTGGATTGCTTAAACATTTGTCCAATTTCTTTCTTGTAACTGAAATTTTTATATCTCAACATCTATCATAATCCCTTATTCATCACTATTGTGTGAATGCAACAGTGTTTAATAACATCAAGTATGGTAAGTTAAAGTAATTTATAATGAATGTTTATAAACAAACCAAAAGATATTTTTGTCGTTCAAATAGATTTTTTTCTGAAAAGGATATTGAAACATTACTGTATTTTTGAGAATTGTGCAATGTATTGTTATGATATACACAAAAGCAAATCATATATCAGTATATATCTGCACTACTGCAATTTGTTAATTGCAATAGTGCAAAATGGAAATAGAAAATAATTTTAACTTTTTGGAAAATCTTCTTATTAAATATGTAATTTCATTCTACATAACTTCACCCTCTTTAAAATAATGCTGTTTAATTTCTCATCACATTCATATTTCTGTAGTGTGCCCAAGAAATATTGTCAGAATTTATATTCTAAACAACAGCATCCATAGAAAGACACCAAGAGAGTTAGGTGTCCCACCTAATGCCTTCCTGTTCCTATATATTTTCTTTTAAAATAATAATCAATGGTATTTTGTAAGAAAATTTATGTACACTGAAATAACTACAATTCTACATATGAGGAGAGTAGTTAACTCCTCTTGCTTAGTAGTTAACTAAATGCTCTAGTTCTCCTTACTATATGCAAGAGTGGTGCTATTTGGAAGATTCTGTATTTTTTGTGCATTACTTGCTGCACAAACATTCTTCGATCTCCATTTTCAAATGTGTTCAATAAACATTTTAATAATTTATTATAGAAATTTATCAAAAATTAATGCAACAGATTATTAAAAATTACATTGAGCACACTTGAAAATGGAGAGATTCAAGAATATTTACACAACAGATAAACCTTGATTTCTTTATTGTCAGAGCTGTTTTAATTTTAAATAAGTAAAAAATAAAATTATAAAGTAACTTTATAATAATATTTAAACATAAACAAGATAAATAATATTAAATAAAAAAAAAATATGTGGCTTAATGGAGTACAAATGAGATTTTGTTGTTCAAAGAGATTTTTTTCTGAAAAGAGAGGGAGCTGTGGATTTTGGACCTGGAGAAAACTTAAGAGCCCATAGTAGTTTCTACCCGTATAAATCATGTCATGTTAACAAACAAAATAAAATCATTAAGATTATCATTTACTATTAAAGAAACAATCTATGTATTTCATTTCTTCAAAACAAGAGTCCGCTCTACCACCAAGCCCCAGACCAAGCATTTAACAGTCCCAAGTATAAAAAACAAGTTCTAACACTTTTAATTTGCATCCATTTTCAGGAACATTTAGAGGATTACAGAATTAGTCCAAAAGCACTAAAGCTTGATGTTCTTTTTATGTTCTATTTTGTTATACAATCCATTAAAGCAAATATTTTTTATGTTTTCTTAAATTGTGGAGTCTTGTGTATTATAAAGAATGCTAAGTAATATTGATTACTTTTTCAGATTTCTTTTCAACATACTGCTGTTTAATAAATCATTGGATAAATATGATAAAAATGAGTTTAAATGATGTTTTTAAAGAATAAACCAGTGTTATATTTATTTAAAGTGTTATATTATATTTATAAAGAGTAAATTAATGCATAGTTTTAATGAGAGTTTTTGTCTAATGGAATTTATTAATAGTACAATAATTAATGTTAGTAAAACATAATATTTATACTGATAAAATAATGAACTTTCAGAACACTCATCTGAATGACCTTTGTAATCTAAACATAAAATCTTTTTAATTAAAAAAAAAAGATAAAAAAGACTGGAAAAGTAAATTAAAGATGCAGAATAATTAAATATACAAAATAAAATTTGCTGAAGTTTTAAAATTAACATTAAACAACACAAAATTAAGTAATTAAAATTAACATTAAATATAAATATAAAAATTTTATAATTTATATAAATTGAAAATTAATTTTCTTATAATATAAATTATATGGTTTATAATTTTTAACTTATAAAAAGAGTTTTATAACTTAAATTAGGTTATAACTTATTTTAGAATTAATTAAAATTTAAAAAGAAAAAAGTAAATACAACTTAAAGATAATTTAAGAAAACAAGAATGAATCTTAAAATACTTCACTTCTCTACTATAAAGTAGTGACTTTTTAACATAGAATTAAAATCAAACAAGAATAAAGGCTTTATTATTTATTTTGAAATGGTTTTTGAATTATCTCATTAGTTATTAATTGCAATATCAATGCTTTTAACATAGAACACTTTCAACACTTAAAATGAGTTATATAAAAAAATTAACATGTAGTAAAAATGTACACAAATTAACATGACTGTAAATGATAATAAATTGAATAGTTTAAGAATACAGTTTAATAAAATGTTATTTTAAATTATTTTTATTTTTCAAAAATGTATATATATATATATGTAACTATCCAGAGAATAAAAATTATAGGTCTTTAGATCACTTCTGCAAGTGGTCTTCATAGTTACATGAATATATCTGTTTGGAGCAAACAGGCATACAGAGACAAACCTTCTTCCAACTGTGTAACATTATCTAATTTAGGTGTGCTGCAATGATGCATTTGTAGTAACTATGCTAACAGTGCTAGATTCGAATTTGCCTACTTTAATTTTACTTTTTATGATCTACTCAGCACTCCTTCCACTACAAGTCCTTACCACACATAACGCCAAGATATTTTTATTTGAAAAATAATATTTTTGCTAAACCTGCAGCAACAGTTAAATTTTTGTAGTTAAAAATTTTTTAAAATTATGACTTTTGGTCCCAACCATAAGTTTGCATATAGTTAATTGGGGCCTTCGGCCCTTAGTTTTCCATATCTGATCTCAATATTCATCTACCTAATTCTGTTTTCAAGATTAACAAAGGACGGACAGACAAACAGAAGGAAAGACAGATGGACTAGTGGGAATGTACAGAAGTCTGCAATGTGAAAATTGCAGTACAATAAACAGAATGACAATGAAACAAAATTAAAATAATTAAAATATTTACATTTATTACTTTTTTACTTGTAAAATTATTCCAAACTTCATTACGAATCTTGATTAACAGCTAAAAACTTTCAAAATTAAACAACTTATTTACTCACATAAAAATATTTTGAAACAATTTTCTATCTGAAAAATAAAAGAAAACTTGTTAAACTAATTAAAAACTAGTCTATAAACAATTTATTTTTGTAGATGTCAAACATATCTATAGCTTAATAAATCAGAATATATTTTGTTTACATTATATGAGGCTACTTAGAAATCAAATAAATAATTGTTTAATATAAAATTACTAATATATCACTCCCTTTTCTGATAAATTTAAGAATTAGATTTTGAATGAGTTGTTAATTTACAGACATAATAAATTTCCTGCGTGACCTTAAATAAAAAAAGAGATCAAATTAAGTTGTTCAATGTTTCATAACATAAATGTATACATTTGTCATTCGGGTGATATCATCGGATTTGTTTACACCAAAGTATAAGCAGACATTGCATAATAATTATAATATGTCAAATCTAAAAAATATATTTTTCTTCTTTTAAAAAATATTAATATCAGCTTTGATAAATTAATCTGTAGATTAAAGTACAAAGTAACTTTATAACAAAAGTATCTTTTTATTTTCTTACAAAATCTGTATTTTTAAATCTCTCTCTTGTTCCGATAAAAGATATTTAAATAGTATCCTCCCTCTTTTAAATAAGCACTGTAAAATGTATATGTAACACTTTTTTTTATTTTTTTTCCATATAAATTAACTAATACAGTTCTATTTTTCCTCTCTGACATTTATACTTTTATAATTTGTAAAGAGAAATGAAATTAATCATGCCAATATGTTAGTTTCACATCTCTGTAATTTTTCGAACTCTTAAACCAGATTCCTTTGTCTCCTTGACTGGCATTGAATCCTGGCTCATACTTTTCTCCAGGTGCCTAGAAAGACAATAAAAATCATTTGTAAAATTGATTGTTTTCATTTTATTTATTTTCTTGAATATTGTTACAAATAATATTAAGAATATTCAAATAAAATTTATTTCTTATGTTAATGCTGTATAAATATATAAAATATAATTAACTCAGTTAACTAACACATACTTAGGCTGTTTCTTTTTCAACCTCTGATGGTCCGTAAAAACAAAGACAAACGTAAATAACAAAATGAATTTATTACAAAAAGTTAGGTACAAACACGGTTACTTTTTGATATAATCACTGTGACAATTGAGGCATTTGTCTATCTGTAGACGAGCTTTTAAATCCTCTCTTCGTAGAATGTTGCCACCAATGACTTGAGATGGGCCCTAACGCTGTTTTGAAGTTCATCATTAGTCTCAAACCTCTGCTCTCCTACACATATTTTCAGTTCAGGAAAGAGGTGGAAATTGCTCGGCACTAAATCGGGGCTATACGCTGGGTGTTTAAAGGTAGTGAAGACTTCCACCCAGCTTGGAACTTTTTAATATAAACTATCTGTTTCCTGAATTGAAAACGTGGCTATGAGGGCAGAGGTTTGAGACTAATGACGATCTTCAAAATAATGTCATTAAGGCCATCTCAATTCACTGGCGGCAACATTCTATAAAAAGGGGATGGAAAAGTTCGTCCACAGATATGATAAATGCCTCAATCTTCACGGTGATTATGTCAAAAAGTAACCATGTTTGTACCCAACTTTTGGTAATAAATTCATTTTGTTACTTATACTTGTCTTTGTTTCATGGACCATCGGAAGTTGAAAAAGAAACAGCCCTCAAAGTTTTAAGATTATTTTCAGAATAATAGAGAATGGCTATTTGTAGTTACATGTGATTCATTCATCTTGTTGGAAATAACTGAATTATGGAAAGCAACATGCAAAAGTTTCAAACTAGTTTTATCATAATTGTAAGCTTCTTCTAAAACATTAATTTAATAATTATCTCAAATAGCCAGTTGGTAGAGATGTAAGATTATCAAACTGCATTGGAGCCACATAATCAAGATTACAACAAAAATAGACTTTTATTGATGGAATGCATTTTGGTCATCAATGGACCCTCCTCAGCCACAACAATATAAATATAAATACCTACAATAGTTGTAAAATTCCATATATAACATTCTGCTTAATTATTACATTAAAAATTTTTACAGATGGAAAAAACAAACATGCAATATTTAATACAATAGTAACATTTTACTTGTGTTAAATATTGCAGGTTTGTTTTTTCCATCTGTAAAAAATTTTTATGTAATAATTAAGCAGAATGTTATATATGGAATTTTACAACTATTGTAGGTATTTATATTTATATTGTTGTGGCTGAGGGCCGAAATGCATTCCATTGAGGGTCGAAATGCATTCCACCAATAAGTCTCTTTTCATTGTAATCTTGATTACTTGGCTCCATTGTAGTTACCATTGCAAAGCAATGATTATTTATCAATAAACTATATTTTTAAATATATCATCATCATAAAGAAACACATTACATTTTACTAGTATAAATTACTATTATAAATGGCAGTGATGTAGAACTTCACATAGCACACTAACAAATACTTCAAATCTAAATTATTGAGGTCCCAGTAATCTAATTTTGATTAATTTTTTGTTGAAATCACTATTCCAAGATCTACACAACTCCAGGATTAAAAAAATGTACTTGGACATACTGTAGCTTTTTAATTTTCACAAAATTTTCATTTAAAAAAAAAAATAGAAAATGCCATTAGGGGGTACAGTTCAAACCACTGGTTCAATGTTAATGGGACTAGTTTCAAAAGATGCACAAAAAATTAAATCAAATAATGTCATTCCTCATATTTTGAATGTCTTCAACAGTTCTTGAGATACAGTGGGTGATTGGTTAACGAACATAATCCGTTCCTTGACTTTGTTCGCTATCCGAATTGTTGTTATCTGATTACGAATTTACCATAGGTTTGTATGGGAATTTGATTAATTCGTTCTGGAGACACCTCAAAATAAAAAATATATACTTTTTATTTACGTTTATTTATATGTAATAATAAAAATATATATATACACACGAAAATCGAACCAGAAACTGAAGCATACAAGTCAGGATCGTTTCCACTCAGCCAGAGGATACTCGAATGGTAGCACGTATAATTTATATATAAAGTGCTAAAAAAACTTTAAGNGGGGTTAAATAATCTGTCTAATGTCAATTGCTTTTCTCTCTTCTCCAGGATTTTCAGAAGTAATTAATAGCATTGTAATTATAGAGATCCCCAAGCCTATTAACCTCAACCTGGTTTGTATGCCATTCTAAGACCATCGATCTGACATCCCCCACTTCTTCAAAAGATCTTTAATTAATAGCAGATATTGGCATTAATCCTCTTTTTCATAATAAAACATATCTCGCCGAGTTTCTTGGTGTTCTTCATTCAAGAATTCTTGGAGTTCTTCTGTCATAAGATCCATTTCATGTTCCATTATGAGCTCTTCAATGTTCTTTATTTCTCAGATGTAATTTTTGTTACTCCTTTAGCTGCTTGAATCTTCTTGATTATACTGTATCTTTCTTAGATAAGATTGAACTGTGCCCTACTGTAGATTTGTTTAAGCTATACTGCCCAGCAACATTAGACATCTTCTGCCCACTCTCTACCTTTGCTATTATACTCTCACCTTTTGAAAATAAGAACCGACACAAAACTTAATGAGTGCCCGCCCGACAGTCTCGCGAATACTATAAAAGAATTGTTTGTCAAAAATAAAAGGTTGGAATTACAAGGGAGTATTTCAAAGTTTGAGGGATACTATCTAATCAGTATATATCAGGTTAAGCATCGATGTTGAGGTCTTCCGCGCTCCAAAAAGTTACCTGAAAACAAAGGAAAATCAGTCGGTATTTGCTATTTTCGTCACTTCTTTTTATGTTTGTTCAGTGAAGTGTTCGTTATCCGATCACGTGTTCGTTGTCCGATCATAAAAATCTTTTGTGAAAATGTTCGTTACCCGATCACCCACTGTATTTGCACATATACTGAATCAATCAAATCTTTACGCAAATTTTATGAGACTACCTGATTTTGGTGGTCATATCTTTAACAACTGTTGAGCTAGACCCCAAAATGTCAGATATGTCCTTTTTGACACAACTTGGGGCTTATAGCTTGGTAACTGATAATTGGGCAATAACAGGATATATGTCATTCTAACTATCTTGAAACATCCTTCATGTATATTTACTGAAGCCTTCTGGTTTAGTGGTTGCAAGTTATAAGCATTTGTTTAGTCAAAAATCAGAAAATTTACTTTAGACCCTAGGGTAAAGTATTGATGCAATAGTGATAAAATTTTGTAGAATAATGCTTTCCTAGGAGATTTTTTTTGCTTTTTGATATTAATCTTGGTTCATTTAGTTGCAGGCTTTAATATGAAAACAGTCATATTTGGAAAAATACATGATTGAATCACTGTTGAGCAAATATAAATTATCTTAAGCTACAATATAACTCATTTAGAAACACAAAATTCTTTGCTAGAATCATTAACTTTATTAAAGTTATTTTATCTGATTAAAGCAAAACATTCAGAAATTTTTACATATCAAGCAGATGAGTAGCATCAAATAAAAGGTTGACTCTGCCATAGAATTGTTATTTTCCTCATGTGCATGTGAAAGGACTAAGTGAAAAGACACATTTGCATGTATTGCTTACTTAAGAATTTTCTTAAATTTTGTAAATTTAAAACATTCAGAAAAAGTTTGCAGACCACAGTGGGCCAATCAAATTTGTGTAAATGAAAAAAGGAGAATATGTTTTTGTGAAAAAGATCTAAAGATGTAAAAGTCTGAGACTAGAAGTTCTCAGGAAGTGTCCAGTGGCTTACCTTCTTTAAAGTTCAGGTCTAGCTCATAGTCAGGAATCTTAACTATGTAGGAACTTGCATCTGAATGAGCAACTGAAAGGAGTTGGCTGGCTGGAAAAACATATTCTGCACTTCTGTGAAACTCAACACTAATGATCCAATACACCTAGCCCAATTCATGTAATTAAACAAATGATACAGGAAAATGTGCATTCAACTTGGGTGTAATTAGATATATTAGATCCATTCATTTTATCCAAAATATAACTGACTGCATGTGCTTCCAAATATATATAGCCAATAGCATGGAGCAACATGGTTATAGAAGTTTTGGATTATGGGGGTGCACCTATCTCTGATTTACAACACTTCTGAAAAAAATGAAGGTACAGAATATGTACTTCCAATCAACCAAACATGAATCAGTTGTCCATCTGGATGCATGTTCCTAGATAGCTAAAGTGACTGTATAATTGTTACAATGTATAATTTTATCACTGCTTTCTGTTTGTTTATTCCTTTGTTGATTTCTAATGTATATATGCATTAATAACAACAATAAACAAAAAATTATATATAATTTTCTGTCTAGGAAAGTTACTTGAATGGATTATAACAGTAAAAGTTTTATTTTTCATTGAATTATTGGGTTAAAAATTATTATAAATATAAAATATTCATAAATTATTTTAAAATATACAAATTTTTTTTTTTGTAAGAGTTATCATTTCATTTTCTTTTGTTATAAAACTCATTATAAAATCAAATTCAATTACTCAGAAACAGTTTAAATAAAAATGTACACAAATTACAATCAGAGAATTTTTGTTCCTTTTATATTTCAGAATTTCAAATTTTAACTTGAATATTTAAAAAGATCAAAAAGTCATTTTCTTTTGAATTTTATAGTAAAATTCTGACAAAAAAGTTTCAGGTATGGGTAATGTGCATGATCATCTAGATGAGTTGTGAGTTTAAGTTTGATTCAGACCTTGGCTTCTGAATAATTTAATTAAAGTTTTGAATTAAATTAAACTAAAATTTATTATTGTTTAAACAAAATTATGGCACCACTATCTTTAGGCCAAATTTCAATCTTAAT